AGTTGGTATAAGTACATGTTAGGATGATGGTCACAAACAATAATTTGTTTATACACAGCAGACAGAACAGAAACAAACATAACTGTAACGATCCTCTTCGAAGTACTATGTGGTGGCGATCCCAACTCCCATATGTTTTTCCTTCGTAATAAAGATCCGATCGAGCAATAATAATTTTTTAATTTTTAATTGAACTACAAAATTTAATGTAGCCAAAAGGCTAATTTTCCGTTATTTGGGAACTTTCAGGTTTGCTGCTGTGTTTTTGCATTTAGAACCTCATTGTACACAATAACTTCGGTAATAAGGGGATGTATAAGGATTCTATATTCCTCATATAGTCAGTCATTTTCAATGTTTTCATTCATAATTTTAATTAACTTTTCAAAGGTTTTCATATCATGATTTAGGTCCTCTTTTCTATTTTCAATTACTTCATGACGTTTCAGAATAGACATGTTAGTACTAAAAATAGTGGATGCATCTGATTCTGGCTAAACTTCTATAGTATTACATGGCAAAACGTTATCCCATGGGTTATTGTTAGAATTAATTCTCGAAGAACTTACGCCAAAAGCAATAAGTGGATAGTGTGATGGCGAATGGTGGTAAGAAATCAAGGAAAAAAAAGTAGATTTTCAGAGGAATACTTTTTTACCAAATGTTTGCACAAGAGGTAAGGGCTATGCAAGTAGGAGGAGCATGAGCAAACCCAAGCGTCGATGTCAATATGATAATGACTTTCTATACTTATATCTTTTTCTGTCACAGACTTCCAATTATGCTTGAATGTATCCTACCATGATGGAAAATCGCGATTATAACGAAACCTTTGCCAAGTATTTTCTATATCAGGAACAAGCTCCATAGTAATAATTTGTATTAGACAATATAGGCGCGAATGATTAGAATTATACTTGTAATTGTACTTAAGGATACGTCAATGTGATTCTATAATCATGGTTGTTCTTGCAATAGGCATCACTTTTGAATAAGCCGCTCGCGCAAACAGATTCTAATCTCCTATATTATACCAATTTATCCACAGATACCCCATAAGGCAGTAAGATTTCTCTGATATCAAAATTGGTATACTTCTAATACACTTTGGCGACGAATATCTTCAGTTGTAAGAAAAGTGTTTACATCTACAGGTATGAGTGGATGTAATAATGCATGTTATATAATCATATTCAATAATTCTTTTCTAAATTCTTTAGGACATATATCGTTTTGTTGTTCTTTAGGAAACCATGTCGGATCAATGAAATCGAATTCATGATATGCATCATTTGCTTTTTGTAACGGATACTGACTTCCTCAAATTTTTTTATCCTTTAGCTTACGTTCAATTGCACGTTTTATGTGCCAAAGACATAGATGTATCATTGCAATTTGAGACCAAGCTTCCTGAATGGCAATGATTTCTCTGGAATCTTTATCTAAAAGTACAAAAGTGGGAGAAACACCTTCATTTCACAAGCTAATGAAGAATTCTTTGAGCACACCAACCCGTGTGTATATTTTATTTTTAGGATCTAAAAGCTTTTTCGCCAGCGCTGTATATGTATCTACGTACAAATACGCAAGAGGAATACCATATCCTCCGCAATTGGCAATTACCGCGAAGAGTTCAAACTGTTCCTGATTAGTTTTAAATGTGGAATCAATAATGATTTCATTAATATTCTCTTGCAGATTTCGAATAAATGGGGTAGTAAATCCAAGGGAGCATACAAAGTCATTTTTTAGATATTGTATAACTTTATACCCATTGTCTACTAATTCTTTTCTTTCTAAAAAATTTTTTGTAGATTTTATTTGATTAGCTACATCAGTTACATACTGCATTTTTAAAAACTTGTGGGTTCAGTAATACACTTGATTGTAAGTATGAAGCGACGGATTGATTAAATTTTCATCACAAAGCTGCTTGTAAAAATCTATTTTTCAAGAGCTTTGATTAATGTGTTCTTTTATCCATGTCACTGTATTTGCAGATAAATTTACTTCTCTATAGGTGAGGCGTTCATGAGCTATCTCATGCTTTACAGATATTTTTGCATACCATTCACACAGATCTATTTTAATTACTATGGCCCCATTATATAAATAACGATTGATTGGAGGTCGTACTTCACTTATCCTTTTTTTTGAAGGTTGGCTGTCTTGACTTTTATATTGATGATCAATCCTTTGAGTACAGCCTAGATGTGCTGTAGCACATCCTGTGTATTGACCATTTTTCTTATTAATATATAAATTTCTCAATTTCCAATAGTATCCCGATCCTCCTTGAATAGGTATGAGTAATTCGTTAACGATTCTATGAAATTTTATAGCTTCCTCAGGATCAGATTCCAAAGATAGATTTTCACTATTAACCAGCTCTCTTTTAATTTCTACCATTATGAAGAATTCGACAATGTCTTTATCATCTCTAAATTTACTGGCTACAAACTCCTCAAAATCACATGCCTCATAGATAAGTTCATCATCACTGCTCTCGCTGCTATCTTCATTTGCTAACGTTTTTTCATTTGAAGGAAAAGAAAAAATAGCTTCATCTGTCGACTTGTTTTTGAGCTTTTTTTCTTGTTTAGACTTTCTGTCATTTTCAGCACAAATATTGCACAAACCACCTTTTATGATTTTATCTCCTTTCTGTCTTGTAAATTCAGCGACCGATTTTGTTTGATGGCAACAAGAACACTATTTTTTTTCTTTATTGATGTCATTAATCTCAGGATTTAAAGCAGCCATTTTATTGGTAATTTTTGTATTTAGATGTTAAATTTATTTTTATTTTTAACATGCTTGAATATTAAGATTTATTATATTTTATTTTTTAATAGGAATGTTTTGCAATTTGGAATAAAGGCCATACAAACCATTATATATATATATTTTTTGAATCATTCTTCATTGATATATGACCTGCAACATCTTAGCAATACTTTACATAGGCCGCTCTATTTTACTGAAGTTGTTTCCATGAATCTGTGGGCTGCATCATTACTGGCGATGCATGGTGCATCGGCCGATTCATAATACTATACATTATAATGGGTAGTGCATAAAACATCGGCCGATTCATGATATGATGCATCATAATAGGCACTTTAGTTTTGTAATATAATGCATCATAATAGGCGATGTATAGCGCCTCAGCCGATTTACGTTGCGATGCATTGTGATGGAAGATATATAATATTTAGTGATCCGGTAATAATGCATTATTGGGGTGTTCGATGCAAGTCTAATTACAAACATAGTGCAGGTCATATAGTGATGATCATTAGTCAAACTTTTTTATAATTACCGCAATATAGATAGCGTAAATAGTAAAACATATAAAATTCAAATTGTAATAACACTTGAACCAGCAGACTGCACAAATAAAATTATATCTATTAGGTTCGTTTTAACGTGCTCTTTAAAGTAACAACGCTTGTTTTTTTTTATTTTCATTGTTTGGAGAGTAGCGGAGAACTCAAAGCGATACCAAAATTCTCGTTATTGATAAAAATATCAAAAACGTAACTTCGAATTTTATGTTTGTCGCCATTGTTAGAAAGTTCGGAGTTACATTTTTGACATTTTTATTAAAGATGCATCAAAAACGAGAATTTTGGTATCACTTAGAGTCCACCGCTATTCTCCAAACAATGAAAATAAAAAAAAAAAACAAGCGTTGTTACTTTAAAGAGCACGTTAAAACGAACGTAATAGACATAATTTTATTTGTGCAGGTCTGCTGGTTCAAGTGTTATTACAATTTGAATTTTATATGTTTTACTATTTACGCTATCTATATTCATGCGGTAATTATAAAAAAGTTTGACTAATGATCATCACTATACGACCTGCACTATGTTTGTAATTAGACTTGCATCGAACACCCCAATATGATATGCTCCGGGCACATAATGCTACGCATTTTCCTAGTACGTAGAGAAGTTTCTACCATTCACGGGGCATTGATTCAGTCACATGAGAAATTCGAGATTAAAAGCAGGGAATACGTAATGCGA